CCCATTGAGCATCTCTGGAGAGACCTGAAAATGGCTGTCCACCAACGTTTACCATCCAACCTGACAGCACTGGAGAGGATCTGCAAGGAGGAATGGCAGAGGATCCCCAAATGCAGGTGTGAAAACTTGTTGCATCATTCCCAAAAAGACTCATGGCTGTATTAGCTCAAAGGGGTGCTTCTACTAAATACTGAGCAAAGGGTCTGAATACTTATGACCATGTGATATTTCAGTTTTTCTTTTTTAATAAATCTGCAAAAATGTCAAAAATTCTGTGTTTTTCTGTCAATATGGGGTGCTGTGTGTACATTAATGAGGAAAAAAATGAACTTAAATGATTTTAGCATATGGCTGCAATATAACAAAGAGTGAAAAATTGAAGGGGGTCTGAATACTTTCCGTTCCCACTGTACATCCTGTCCCAGGAGCTGCTGATACAGTTCTACCGTGGAATCAAGTCTGTTCTCTGCTCATCCATCACTGTCTGGTTTGGTTCAGCAACCAAACAGGACAGGAACAGACTCTAACAGATAGTCAGGACTATGGAAAGAACCATCAGTGCCAGCCTGTCCTCCATGGAGGACCTGTACACAAAAAAAGGAAAAACTAAATGTTTGCAGCTTTATTTACTCAGTGCAGCTTACAACATATACAAGGGAAAATAAAAGTATCAGGAATTGTGAAAAATAATAAATAAACTGGAATAACTTGATCCAGAAAAGCATCAGCCCCCATGTTAATACTTTGTGGCTCCACATTTTTCTTTAATTACAGCCTTGAGTCTGTCTGGATACTTCTCTGCCCACTTTGCACTCCTAAACTAAGCAGTGTTTGCCAACTCTTCCTTCCAGAACTGTTCTAGCTCTGTCACATTGTCTGGTGACTACTGGTGGACTGCAGTCTTCAGTAGGGTTCAGGTCTGGGCTGTGACTGTTAAGCTTATTAGTTTAAATTATTTATGAATAAAAGAACAACCAGGAGCTGGACAACACACTCAGAACTACACATTTGTTATAGGGCAGATAATAACAGGCTACTACTTCATATCCATATGTGAATGCAGAGTTTGTGGAACCAGTCCAGTTTAGATATTCCTGTTTGACTGTTTAATAACGCTGCGTTAACAAAAGGTGGCGGCTGTCGTAGTACATCTTGACAAAAGCATAAAACTTACTCTGTCCACACCAAAAACATGTTTTGTGCAGCACATAACATATCACATGCCAGTTGCTCGAGGCTCGCGCTTGTGTTTATACCAGGCGTGTGTTCACTCAAGCCAAGGAAGCTAAAGAAACCCTTTGGAGAAGGGAAAGCCATGGTCCAAAATTCTGACAAATAATAGACAATGAGTGAATTACTGGCTAGACTGGCTGTATTTGTAAAGTGTATCCAACCCATGGTAAAATACAGCAAATACAGAGCGCCATATTTAGTAGGATTGATGTAACAGGTGTGATCATGTACTCTAACTCTTTTTGCTTCATGTCTTTGACTGTTTTGCTGCAGTTCTGGTTTGAACTAGTGAGCTTTCATTGTTTTGGTTGATTCTGTGTAGCGTTTAATGCACAAAACTCTGAATAAAATGGACTTGAAGCTGAAATAGACGTCAGGTCATGGCTACACACTTAAAGCTGGAGTGATATGCCAGCTGACATGCAGGCAGTGTAGACAGCTACTATCAGATGAGGGCCATGTGTCTCAAAAACAAGGCTGTAGTTGTACATATGGATCGGAATTGGATTGGCTCTGTTCTGGTCAATATTCATCCTGTAATAAATAACCGGATCTGCACCGATGCATGGTATCAGATGGGGGCATTGACACCCCCACGTTCCTGCAAGACTCATACATATCTCCACCGGCGCTCAGCAGCCAGCACACACATGCACTGCATCTAATTTAAAATAGATGAGAACAATCCAAAGAATAAGATAATGAAAACTATCCATTATTAATATCTAAATAAAACACAATAACGAGGGTAGAATGATAGCCTCGGTATTTATACTCTTCTGAAACCATTCTGATTTAAAATTCCGTTGCCTAAACCTTCCTCCAAAGGACAATCTCTGAAAGAAGGGGGCCTCTGATTGAGAGCCCTCACTGATGATATTCATTTGTTTTATTTAAGATGACTTTCATAGATAAAATAAACAGGAGGGAGAGGCCAATGATTTTAGATGTACAGTCTTAATCACCTTCTCTAATGCTGTCATTTCTCCTGAGGTCAGACTACCACCCCACACACTAACAGCAAAGGGAGGGCACTATGGATAAAGTTCAGCCAAAGCATTCACAGAAGCACCAAATTCCCTAAGTTTACATAGAAAATACAGCCTTTGATGAGCCAGTTTCACTATCCTAAGGACATTGTTTCCCCATTTCCTATTTACTGATATGACCATGCAAAGAAATTGAAATTCTTCCACCCTCTCAGCCATTTCCCCTACAGCAATGAAAGCTGGTTTCTCTTCCTTGTCTTTCCTAAATTCAGTAGTCATCTCTGGTTTTACTGACACTGAGATGAAGATTATGATCACTACACCAGCTCACTAGATTGGAGAGCTCTTTCATGTGTGTCCGTTCATCTGAATTAGTTATTAACCCAACAACTGTGGTATCATCAGCAAATTTAAAAACCTTGCCTGATGTGTCATGAGAAGTATAAGCGTCGCTTTACAGGAAGTCTTAACAGTGAAGTTAAACAACAACCCTGTGGAGCTCCGATATTAAGTGGTTTGGAAAAGATATTATTGATTATAATTAATCACTTGCTTTCTGTTCCACACTTATTCTTATACTACAAACTTAATAAATGGCAGAAAGTGTATCCTGGATAGCCTAGGCAGTCCTAAGCACATTTTGACAACTTCATCTCAGCCGTTCAACAAATTTATCCCTTTGACAGCATCGTTTTAAAGGTCCTTTCATGTCTAATTTGCTGCTGTTCATGCACATGTTAATGCATGACTGTGACATGTTCAGCAACGGTTGTGTGTGCTGCAGTGATAATGTACTGTATCATAGGTAATGTTTCACATGGTAATACTGGTGACATTCTATGTTACTGCCCTGGTTTCAGGTCAAGAATCTCATTCAGTCAAGTCAGAACAAAGAGGGACTCGAACTCCACAGCCTGCTGTCAGACACACACATTCAGGTAAAGACACACACACACACTCTCAAAGCTGTATTACTGCAGCAAATAAATAGAAGAATCCTGTGGTGGCCATCACTGATCCAGTCCTATAGCTGAGTGCGTGTGTGTGTTTTGCAGTCGTTGCTCCTAGCCCATGACAGCATAGCAGAGAGAGAAATGCAGCCGGAGTCGCTGCCTGCCGAAGGAGAAACTTTTACCCAATGGGGAGGAGAGACTGTCAAGATAGTTCGCATAGAGAAGGCCCAAGATATACCACTGGTAAGACATACACGCAGTCACCCAAAATCAAGGACAAGACAGCTGTGGTACAGAGCTGTAAGCCTACTGCACCACACTTGCAGTGTAGCTTGTGTTCCACTAGCTTCAGCAATTTGACTCATAAATGTGTGTTTCCATGTCTTGGACATTAGTACTACTGCATATGTAAAAGTTATGTGTGTCTCCATTGGGACCTCTCAGAAGTCAGATAAACTGCCTCAAACAGGTTATCGTGAGTTTGGTGATGTTATAGGAGCACGGTGCAGTGTAATTTCTCAAAGAACAAACTAAAAGCTCCACTGGATGAGTGGATGGAGATAATGCATGGACTGATGGACAAAACCATCCATGCACTCAGTTGGAGTCTGTTTCCAGTCTAAATGGTGATCTACTAATATACTGGCCAGCACAACTGAAACACCTTTTCACTTTAACATATAGAAAGACACGTTTATTTGTGTGACAAAAGCCCTGTGCAAACCGGGCCTTTCCACTGGAAAGAATTGATTTCACTCTGAAGTTTTGCTGTCATTTTGCAAATGACGGTGTGACCACACCCAACAGCTCTATGAATGTGAATAATCTAATGTAATCTAATGCCTGTGAAGCTGTGACTGGAGACACAAGAAGAGGGAACTGGCAAAGAAAACAGAGCCCTGTCTGTCATGTGGCACACTTACAGAAGGCCTTTGGGAATGATGTACAAAAAAACTGTGAAGTAGTGGTAAACATGACAAATTAGGGAATATGGATTATAGGGCATACATCCTCTGCACTATCAACATCTACTGCTCCATTGAGACTTGACAGTACGTCTGTTGCCAACACCCAGTTTTTCAAAACAAAGATAACAGTAAATATTGTCTTTATGCTTTCTAAAGCGTTCCTTTAGGATAATGCTGCCAAAAATGTGTTTGTAAAGAATTGTATTATCTTTAGCAAATCGTTAAAACTGGCTTCATTATAACTCTCTGTAAATCCCACTGTAATGCGGGCTTATCCATGGTTTTCCACCATCTCACTGTATTTCTGCATGTTCTGTAGGGAGCAACTGTTCGTAATGAAATGGACAGTGTTGTGATCAGTCGTATAGTTCGAGGTGGAGCCGCTGAACGGAGCGGCCTCTTATCGGAAGGAGATGAAATCTTGGAAATTAATGGCATAGAGATCAGAGGGAAAGATGTCAACCAGGTCTTTGACATTCTTGTAAGTATATCATTTGCCAAATACTGAATCTAGTACCTCAATGCAGTGATAGATTCCACCACAGGGCGGTAGCAGAGAATCATGTGAGTAATCCATGGCTATGTCCATTTCAATAAGTACAGTATATTACAATTACTCATTACACTAGAATTGTTCACATCTTTATGTTTAGCCTGTCTAAATGCTATATGGACACAGGCAGTATTAACTGATACACGACTACATGGATACAATGATAAGGCAGTCGACAGGTTAAATGGAAAATGAAATGGCAGTTAAAGTCCAGGCATTGAAACTGATAAATAACAATTGTGTTTCTCTCTCTGTGTGTGTGTGTGTGTGTGTCAGGCTGATATGCATGGTCTGCTGACCTTTGTGCTGATTCCCAGCAGTCAGAGCAAACCTCCTCCTGTCAAAGAGACTGTGGTGAGTGCAGAGTCCTCTGCATGGTGGTTTAGACTGGAAGAAAGAAAGGAGCTTTCTTGTTTCCTTCACCAAACTGCAGTGAAAAGTGGTTGTCTTTGGTCGGCAAATAGTGACTTTTAAAATATTCCAAATAAGAGTGCCAGTTTGAAATGTTCCTAACCATTACTGTTGAAAACATCTCATCAGTCTGTCTGGGTTCCTGCGGGTCTCCTCTGTTTCTCTTCATTCTCACCTCTAGATCCATGTGAAGGCGCATTTTGACTACGACCCCTCAGATGACCCCTATGTGCCCTGCAGAGAGCTGGGCTTATCTTTCCAGAAAGGAGATATTCTCCATATTATCAGTCAGTCAGACCCCAACTGGTGGCAGGCTTACAGGGACGGAGATGAGGATAACCAGCCTCTAGCTGGACTGGTTCCAGGTATTACTGTCTGTGCTCGTGGTTTTTCAGATCTCTGCATGTAAAGAATGATTAGCCAGGCTCTGAGTCAGTTTCAGACTCTCGGTTTCAGACCGCTAACCATTCTGTGGAGAGAGGTTGGAGGTCAGAGTGACACTCCACTGTATAAACCCGTGTTCCACTCTGCATTGCATGATGTGACTGCTGTTTGTTTTCTCTCATTATTTTTATCATTTCTCCACAGGCAAGAGTTTCCAGCAGCAGAGAGAAGCCATGAAACAAACCATAGAAGAAGACAAGGGACCTGAGAAGCCTGGTCAGTTCCTAGACCCTTTACAAATATAACCCTGTTACAGTGAACAGCTAGTTTATAGTTGTATTAATACAAAGTGTATGTGTTTCCTCATATTTAAAATAACTAATATTGCTTTGCTAAAAAAATTAGCGTTTCTTTGTGTCCAGCTTTTCATTTAAGAAGCTTAGAAGACTTCATTTCACTCACATTTCCAGCACCACACATAAATAAAGTCCACAGTGGCCGGTCAGAATGGTTGGTTGAGTACAATGGAATTATAGTTTCCCAGTACAGTAAATGCAGTGAGCCCTGTGTTTGTCTGTTCACAGGGAAGCTGTGGTGTGCAAAGAAGAACAAGAGGAAGAGAAAAAAGCTGCTGTACAACTCTCACAGGGGTGATGGTATGGCCTGTTTGTTTGTGGCTCGCACCAACATTTCATCAAAAACTTAGGCTTTCTAATAGATCAAATATTTTTCATGTTACCAGTTAAAATTAAACAAAGTAGACGGCCTACTCCTAAATCTTACACCAGTCACTGCAGAACTCACTGACCTATCATCTCACAGCTTTTCTTTTGGTCTGCCTTCTGACTTGTTCACTCTGTCCTCTCCCCTGGTCCAGATCTTGATAATGAGGAGATTCTCACCTATGAGGAGATGGCTCTGTACCACCAGCCAGCCAACAGGAAGCGGCCGATTGCACTGATTGGTCCACCCAGCTGCGGCCAGGCAGAACTTAGACAGAGACTGCTCAACAGCCAACCAGAGCGGTTTGCTGGAGCTGTCCCTCGTAAGGCGCACACACACACTTCCATGTGATTGTGTATGAACTCATCTGGGTTTTTTGCTTTGTGTGTGTGTGGCTCTGTGTATCATGTGATTTTAAGGGTCTAAAGACAAAGGGTGTCATATGCCCTAGAGACTGTAAAAGCCCTTGAAACTGATTTGTGATATTGGGTTCTATATAAAATGTGATTTGATGCGTGCGTGTGTGTGTGTGTGTGTGTTGTAGACCACAGACTGAGCCGTCGAGAAGGCGAGCTGAGTGGTCGAGACTACCACTTTGTGTCTCGTCAGACCTTTGAAGCAGAACTTGCAGCTGGTAAGATTTGATGTCACTGGATAGTTTAACACCTGTCAGTCACTGTCAGATATTTCCTGGGTTTTCAAGCTGGAGTTCCAGATAGTCGGGGTTTATTGCAGCAAGGGTAAACCACATTTTACTACAGATTTAACAGTAGCTAAAAGACCTCAGCTCACAGCTTAGTGTCTGTATCCAGGTTCATGCTACATACTGGACTCATTTTAGGCATGTTTTAACATGCACTGTAGGTTGTTCACTCTGAAAAAGAGACACTGCAGAATAAAGAGGATTAGCCCTCAAGGATCCACATTTAGATGAGAAACACTGTAAACAAACTGGTTTGTAAGAACACTCCAGAGGACAGCTTTGTATTGGTACTGGCATCCTAAAGTTTGATTGACATCCACTGACACTGTATCATATCCCGTTTGAATAAATGGTGAAGTATTTTGATTTCTTGTCTTCTAACTAATGCTGACGCTGGCTAACTGCACCATGTAATGACTGCCACGGGCCTGTCAGTAAAAGGAGGTGAAGACTGAGCAAACACAGTCCATGGCTCAAAAAGCTGCGCCATTCAAAGAAGTGATTAGGACTTGTCTCAGTGCCAGACCATGTGTTAAATGATGTTTTGTCTTTTGCGTTTTTCTCAGGGAAGCTGATCGAGTCTGGCGAGTTTGAGAAGAATCTGTATGGGACAAGTACAGACTCAGTGAGACAGGTCATCAACACTGGAAAAATCTGTGTGCTCTGTCTGCACACACAGGTTGGTACACACACACACACACACAGACTGATCAGAGTGCCACAGTGCGTTGAGAGACATTCGGAGTAGTTTTATTACAAAATGCAGGGTCAGATGTTGTTGATTGAATGCTAACATATGTGTTTGTGTGTGTATACAGACTCTAAAGGTGCTGAGGAGCTCAGACTTGAAGCCTTACATCATCTTCATAGCTCCTCCCTCACAGGAAAGGCTCCGAGCTCTACTGGCTAAAGACAACAAGAACCCCAAGGTTCCTGTCTAACTGTGTACACTGTTTGTTTACTCTAGGTTAAAGATAACATCACAGGTATTTACATCCCTGAAATGTTTGCCTTCATAATATGAGCATGTGTGTGTCCTGTACAGCCAGAGGAGTTGCGGGACATCATAGAAAAAGCCCGAGAGATGGAGCAGAGCTGCGGTCACCTGTTTGATGCTGTCATCGTCAACACAGACCAGGACAAAGCCTACAACGAACTGCTACGACTCATCAACAAACTTGACACTGAGCCGCAATGGGTGCCCTCCTCCTGGCTGCGCTGAAAGCAAGCACACACACCCAGTTATGCGACATTCATACAATAGGCACACAGCCCACGGAGTACACATTTCATCAGATGTAAAAAAGTGAACCCACAGTGTGCTGTGGCAGGACTTTACGACATAATATCAGGGTTGATAATGGGAAAAATGTATGTAAGTTTTTGAGAATAAAGTTGTAATATTATAAGAATTAAGTTGAAATGTTATCAATCAAAAGTAAAAAGTATGACAAAGTTGTGATTTTATAAGAACACATAATATTGCAATATTATTGTCATAATACTGAGTGATTAAGTATCACAGTATTACAGGGTCATGTTGTAATTTTCCAAGCAAAGGTCATAAAATAGTAAGTATCACAAGTTATAATTTTAACAGATCAAGTTGCAATTTTACAAGGAACAAGTCCAGATTTTACAATAATGAAATAGTAATTTTAGTAGGAAAAAGTGGCAAGTTTTAACAGGATGAAATCATAACAGAGCTCTAATTCCTCTAGGATAAGTCAATGTTTCAGTTGACGACGTTACAAGAAAAAGGTAGTTTGGAGGATAAAGTGTCCTATACTGTGATTTGACTGGGCAGATAAGTTGCATGATCATGTTTTAAGTGCACTGTCACTTTCCTCTGACTGGTAACGGTATCAGTGCTTGTGAGACTGACCTTTGTTAACAACATCCCAGCAGAGCATGAGGTTTCACTTGTGTGCACAGTGTGCTGCCGCTTCACGGCCGTCTCTGGAACCATGAACCTGTTTGATCTGTTTGCTCTTTGGCTCAGCAGTCTGGAGATACCAGAATCTAGCCCCAGCCTCCGTGCCTTCATTTCATTTCCCAGCAGTAAACCAGATGAGAAAGTTTCTCTTCAATTATAACATTTGTTTTATCTTAATAACCTTTTCTGGTGGTACCATGGCTTAGTTTCTGACACTTTATCATGTTGACACTTTGTCGTTGTAAAACAATGGCTTTATTGTTGTAATAATTTTTCCATAAAACTACAACTTTATTGTTGAAATATTTTGACTGTATTTCTGTAATTCCAAATTTATTCTCACAACATTACACTGTTCTCAAAATCTTAGTTTTGTTTTTTTCTTCCCATTGGCCCTAAAACACAGCTGTACTAACTGCTCTGTGATGTTTTTATGACACACTTCTCTGTCATCCTCAGTTCTGGATGAGACCAGAACATGGACCTGGAATACTGAATTCTTGTCTGGTTGTTTGTTTGTTCTACTTCCTTTATGAGCCGTTCTGTCTCAGACATGCTGGGCCTCACTGCTGGGCATCTTTTACTGTGATCATTTCAGCCATTTCGTTTAAAAATCTGTATAAATTATGACGCTTAAATAATTTTAAATTTGCAGTGGAGAGGATCCACATGAGCATGAAAATCACACAGATATTTAGTACAAATTAAAATCCACGTTGAGCTGCTGCAGTACTTGCTATGAGGGAGACACACCTATATATGTACACACACGACAACAGTGCGTTAGCCGCTTACTTTCCCCTATGCTTGGGCGTCTGCACCTGCAGCCTTCTGGACCCTGACTGACTGACCTACAGACTGACTTACCGACTGGTTGAACTGCTGGTTTATGACTGGCTTTGCTGTTAAAATGCACACACTTGCTATAGACACTAAAATAAATGACACAGCACTTGATATTTCTTTACTGGCTGGCTGCTTTACTTTCTGACTGACCACCTTGTCAGCTGTCTCTTTCTGTCCTGTCTGATCACATGTAAGTAGACCTCTGAGCCTGAGCCCTGGTGGGTGAGCGGCTGAAGCAAAGTTGTAGTTTTATTCATGTTCCTGATTGGCACATGATGCTGAATTTATTATATAGTGTGTGCACCTGTGAAAGGATGTGTGTGTGCACGCCTGTCTTGGAAGACAGTGAAGTATTATTGTGACCTAAAGTAGACCTGACACCATATCACTCTGTAGAGCGTTTATATATTTTTAATATTGAAAATACATTTATGAAGTGGAGAATGCAGCGATAGGATTGCAGGATTCACTTCCTTGCTTCCCTCCCATTGGTCCGTGGGGTACAGGGGTGGGGGTTAAGTAAATGACTGCAAAGTTAATTGATACCACTTCCTGTTTATCAGACACCACTTCTTCCTGAGAAAATCTGCTTTTGTATGCATATTCATAATGAATAAAAAGTAGATGATTGATAGAAAATGACTGGCCTTGTGTTTTTACTTTAAGGTTTTTAATGCAGTTTTCATTCCAAACTAGTTCTCGCCTAGAAACATTTAAAATTAAGTGAAAGCCAGGTGGGGGTTTTTTAAACCCTAAATGTTTAATGGAGTTTGGTGTGACATTCTCCATTTGCTACAGATCAACATGAAGTATGAATTAAGCTTAATGGTCTGTGTTTGTTTGCTGATGAAGACCCTGAGATGTGATTGAAAGCTCTAAAGGAGTAAGTAGGTTGAAATTCAGTCATACTGCTACCAAGAGTAACATCCATGCACAGAGCATCTATTGAGGCTGTATTATTGTTCATAGTTCATATACAGTGGTGTGAAAAAGTGTTTGCCCCCTTACTGATTTCTTATCTTTTTGCATGTTTGTCACACTGTAATGTTTCAGATCGTCAAACAAATTTATATATTAGTCAAAGATAACACAAGTAAACACATCATGCAGTTTTTAAATGAAGGTTTTTATTATTAAGGGAAAACAAAATCCAAAACTATAGAGCCCTGTGTGAACAAGTGTTTGCCCCCCTGTCAAAACACTGGTTTATCGCACCTGAGTTCAATTTCTCTTGCCACACCTGTTCGCAATCAAGAAATCACTTAAATAGGACCTGCCTGACAAAGTGAAGTAGACCAAAAGATCCTCAAAAGCTAGACATCATGCCGAGATCCAAAGAAATTCAAAAACAAATGAGAAAGAGAATAATGGAGCTCTATCAGTCCGGAAAAGGTTATAAAGCCATTTCTAAAGCTTTGGGACGGCAGCGAACCACAGTGAGAGCCATTATCCACAAATGGCGAAAACATGGAACAGTGGAGAACCTTCCCAGGAGTGGCCGGCCGACCAAAATTACCCCAAGAGCACAGCGACAACTCATCCAAGAGGTCACAAAAGACCCCACAACAACATCCAAAGAACTGCAGGCCTCACTTGCCTCAGTTAAGGTGAGTGTTCATGACTCCACCATAAGAAAGAGACTGGGCAAAAATGGTTTGCATGGCAGAGTTCCAAGACAAAAACCACTGCTGAGCAAAAAGAACATAAAGGCTCGTCTCAGTTTTGCCAGAAAACATCTTGATGATCCCCAAGACTTTTGGGATAATACTCTGTGGACAGACGAGACAAAAGTTGAACTTTTTGGAAGGTGTGTGTCCCATTATGTGTGGCGTAAAAGTAACACCGCATTTCAGAAAAAGAACATCATACCAACAGTAAAATATGGTGGTGGTAATGGGATGGTCTGGGGCTGTTTTGCTGCTTCAGGCCCTGGAAGACTTGCTGTGATAAATGGAACCATGAATTCTGCTGTGTACCAAAATATCCTGAAGGAGAATGTCCGGCCATCCGTTTGTGACCTCAAGCTGAAGCGAACTTGGGTTCTGCAGCAGGACAATGATCCAAAGCACACCAGCAAGTCCACTTCTGAATGGCTGAAGAAAAACAAAATGAAGACTTTGGAGTGGCCTAGTCAAAGTCCTGACCTGAATCCAATTGAGATGCTGTGGCATGACCTTAAAAAGGCAGTTCATGCCCGAAAACCCTCCAATGTGGCTGACTTACAACAATTCTGCAAAGATGAGTGGGCCAAAATTCCTCCACAGCGCTGTAAAAGACTCATGGCAAGTTATCGAAAACGCTTGATTGCAGTTGTTGCTGCTAAGGGTGGCCCAACCAGTTATTAGGTTTAGGGGGCAAACACTTGTTCACACAGGGCTATATAGTTTTGGATTTTGTTTTCCCTTAATAATAAAAACCTTCATTTAAAAACTGCATGATGTGTTTACTTGTGTTATCTTTGACTAATATATAAATTTGTTTGACGATCTGAAACATTACAGTGTGACAAACATGCAAAAAGATAAGAAATCAGTAAGGGGGCAAACACTTTTTCACACCACTGTATATGGGACAAAGACGTTCATAATAAAGTTGCAACATTGTGTTATGTCACTCCACCAGTTAGTATTGCATTTCCATGAGACTGGTGGGCTGACGTATCCTGACTTTTTGTCTGTATGGATCCAAAAATCTGATGCATTCCCCATAATGCAACATTTCCATAGAGGGCCAGACACTTTTACTCAACATTCTTTTTATTCATAGGACCCCCTTTGTATGTTGTATGTGTGTGGCCCCTCTACTGGTTTGTTTTCACCACCTCCGAGCTCAGAATCTCTACTGAGTAGACATGTATCAGACAACCATTCAGATATCAACAGTGCCACGTGCACTGTCACTCAGTAAACACTTCTCACATGAGTAATGCAGGAAGAAACAAGTGAAAATGATCAATTTAATGTTGACTGAATTCAATTTTCCTGCATCATTTTGTGGTGCATGTTAGTTCACAGTCATGACTTACTGAGACACTAAATGTCTGGAATCACAGCAGTTTAAAATGTTATTTATAAGGAATCATAAAAAGTACTGCCAGAGCAATTGCTAAAACAAAGTGTGGTAACACAAAGGGGCCACGAGATGGCGGTGTTCCCCAGATTATTTATGCCATGTTTTAGGAAAACCATCTGTATGTACCGCTGTGTGGTGGCCTCGAAGATCCACTGTTTTCCAGGAGTACTGTATTGTCTTTGTCAAAACCTTCATGCACTGAGGTGTCCCTCTTGTTTTGTCACTTCACTTTTGGCTCCATGTTTGATCTGCTTCTGGACATGAAGCTGGTAAACTTGCCGCTTCCTGTTTGATCATGCCCAAACTGGAGCACTCTCTGGATTTCTGGATTTCTACAACTCTGAACCACACTCCACCCCTCACTCCTCCACCTGTAATGCAGCCAGACTGCACGGAGATGAGCATCAAATCGCCTCACTACACCTTCACATCCAGTTTCTCTCTAAAGGTTAGGACATTTGAACTGGGCCACAGGGAAGTGTTCACCTATTGTTTCACTTAATAAAAAGTTCAAGACTTTATAAAATGGAATTTCTATACAAAAAAAGTGCCAAAATTGACTAAAATACAACTTCATCATTCATTTGCTGGGTGTTTCTGAGCAGGTGTCTCATTTCACTAAGTCAGTTAGGCCTACTTTGTATATAGCTTTTGTCTCCTACTGACCTGTACCCAGCTTTGATTTACCTTTGAATGTGTCTGAGCAGCAAACAGAGACTCCAGACACGACGCAAGAGGACTTACCCCCTAACCTACAGTATGTGTGTTGGCTCAAAGGGGGAAAAACTCATACTGTTATAATGGCAGTGACTGACGCAAGACAAGCAGAGATGTAACCAAGGACAAACGAGTAATGAAAGCTGCCTTTCATTTAGATATTCCACCTTTTCTGCCCTGCTATGTGAATTCTGGTGCACATACTGCAACTTGCCACTGAAATTGCACCATTTTTGATGGGTGACATTTCTTACAGTGTTTTTGTGCTTAGCTATGCACAACAGTAATTAAAATCATTAATTTAACCCGTTCCTGCTAGGTGTTTAGGTGCTGCTAGCCTGTTAGTTTGGGAAGTAACATTAAACTAAAGCACTGGTACTAGTATCCTATAGTAATACCTTCCTGGTTTGTTGTCTTTTGTATTCTGCTTTAACAAACTGTCTAACACACATACAGGAATGTGCAAAGTAAGCCTGAAAAACAGTATTGGGGAGTAGTGAGCTACGTGTAATTAAACTAGTAGTTTAGCTACATTTTACATTTTCAATTTTATTCTTTGTTCAAAATAAACACTCACTTCAATTCTGATGCAACACATTTCAAATAAAGTTGGGACAGTAAAGCGTTTACCACGGTGTGATGTTGCCGTTTCTTTCAAAACACAGATGTTTAGGGACTGAGGACACCAAGTGATTCAATGTGTCAGGAGTCATTTTGTCCCATTCCTCCTGTAAACAAGTCTTAAGGTGCACAGCAGTCCTGGGTCATTGTTGATGCAGTTTGTGTTTCAAAATGTGCCACAGCTTCTCTACTGGGGACAGGTCGGGACTGCAGGCAGGCCAGTCCAGCACCTTTTCCTCCACAGCCAGGCCTTGGTAACATTGTCTTGTTGAAATATACAAGGGTGTCCCTGGAAAGGATGTCGTCTTGAAGGCAGCATATGTTGCTCCAACATCTCTATGTAATTTCCAGAATTAATGGTTCCATCACAGAAGTGTAAGTGACCTTTACCAAGGGCACTGACACAACCCCAAACCATGACAGACTCTGGCTTTTGGACTTGTTGCTGGTAACAGTCTGGATGGTCCTATTTGTCTTTGGTCCAGACCACACGGCGTCCATTCATTCTAATTAGACCAGAAAGACTGATTGGTCTGACCACAGTGCACGTTTCCACTGTGTGATGGTCCATCCCAGATGCCTCTGAGCCCAGAGCAGTTGACTTCTGGACACTGTTGACATAGGGCTTCCTTTTGGCACAGTACAGTTTGAAGCAGTATTTATGGATGTAACTACGTATTGTAGTGTCTGACACAGGTGTGCCAAAGTCATCCTGAGCCCATGTGGTTATATCACTTATATAAGAGAGATGATTCTTGATGCAGTGACGTCTGAGGGATCAGAGCGCTCGGTCATCCAGCTTCCTTAAAACTTTTAATGAAATTCTGCAGCGTAGAGGGTGACATAGCCAAATCCCTTCCTATCTTTTTTTGAGGAACATTGTTTTTAAGTATTTTTCTTACACATATGTTGGCAAACTGTTGGCCCTTGGCTCATGTTTGCTCCTAAAGGGCTCAGCCTTTCCTGGATGCCACTTTTGTACCAAATCATGATGCAGTCGCAATTTTGATTTTATATACCGTCCCAACTTCTTCTCATTTGGAGCTATAGTTAAATTACTTTTTTACCATTATTTCAACTACAAACCATTTTCAGCAGCTTGTCATTGTTGGCATGGTTATTTTCACTGTCAAACAGAACTACCTGTTGGATAAGAAATTTGAGAGAGACTGCTCATGTGTCATATAAACAAGAGATTCTGCTCTGACAAGTAAACAGATAGGCCCTTTATTTAGACCAGTGATCAAGTTGTTCATACTGTCAAAAGATGCAAGCTAGGTTCTTAAGACTGTACAAGTCAGATCTTACAAAACTGACAAGTAAGACAACACACCAGTTTAATTCAGAACTGTGCTCAAGTTGGACAAATGGTCTAAAAAATTCAAGTTTAATTTTTTTCTTAACTTTTTAGTTGTAGTCAGATAACACAAACCCAGATTTGTTTAAAACAAAAATCTAACACTCCTTGCAACTTTGTCCTTGTAAAAAGCATTCATTTAGGACAAGTTTAGGTTTCAAATAGCCTAATAAACTCAAATGAATGGCTATGCTTTGAAAGTAGCTTCCCCAACACTGCTGCTACAGTAGCCTTCCGTTAAAAAAACATCTTAGGACGTTAACTATCTTGCACCGTTTTAATTCTTTGGCCAATTGATTCTGGTCTGCCCAAACACGGCACTGTCATTGGCTAACTTACCACAAAGGGCGGTACCGCGCCCCTTGCAGTGGTGGATTGGTCGCTACTTCTGTCAGTCAGTCCTCCTGCCTCTGGTCCTGATGGACAGAAGGAGAGAAGAGAGGTAGAAATACGAGGTGGCGATGTAGCAAACAACGGAAACAACTGATTTGCCGCTCTTCGTCGTTCTGTATCGCGCATTTGACTTTTTTGTTTTGTTTATCGTAATTATTTTTCTTTTTTCGTATTTCACGGCGGTGTCGTCACTTTACGGTCTGGCCGCTGTATCCTATAGCAACGTGAACAACTGCCTTGCAAAGTTTGGATCGACTGTTTTACCTTTAGCCGGAAAATCAACTAAATATTAACTTGCTAAACTAACGGAACTGACTCCAGGGAGCATTGCTGCACTTTGAACTGCTTTTATCCATATTTATTTAGTTTCTTTAATTTTAAGCCTAGTGTTGAGGGAAACGGGACGGCGCGAGACAATAGTGCGAGAAAAAGCTCGTGCCAGGGGGAATCGATGCCTCGCGGGGGCTTTGTTCTGCCCTGTGTGGAGACGTACCGCGAGCCCGCGGCGGATATCGACTGATTAAGTGGTGGATTACGGATTAGCTGGTGATTAATAAACGGAATCGGGAGGCGTTGAACAACCATGGATGTGACTCTGTCCGAGTTACTGGCCACTTTCATGGAGTCCCCGCTGGTGGTGTGGGTGAGTGGGAGCAGCACGGTGCACACCAGCTGCTGAGCTCTGCCTCGTCTTACTTTCTTCTGTTTCTCTAAGATCAGGTTCATCTGTTACAAGCACCGGCTGACTAGGAGCACACAGCGTTAGTGATGCCCCATGCTATAATAGTTTATGTATTCATGGACACTTTTCAGACCGACTACACCAGACTGCAGTGACACGGAAGTTTATTCAGTGTAAAATCCTCAAATTAACTCGTCCATTGAGTTAAGGTCTCTGGGACTTTCCAGATTTAGTTCTCATGCACTGCCAAACAAAAATGCAAATTTTCTGTCTGCTTCACTGCTCATATGCCACTTGTTGGGCTGCTGTCCTGTCTTAACCTCTTCATCATCTTGTGCCATTAAAATGCTGATGTATGCAAGAATTTCCACCAGTCCGGCCAAAGAGTCTCATAGTTTTTATGTTTCTGGCTGTTTTGTTGATGTGCCGGGTGTGAATATGATAAAAAGCAGCCACTGTCTACATCAGATCAAGCAATTTAAACCAAATCCAGTTTTAAGCAGCATCCTTTAGCCCACTGCAAACATCAGGAAATCAGGTGCTGCTCACCTTATTGCTATACAAACAGTCATTTACATGCAGAATCAGTACAACTAATATCAGTACATTTATTTTATAGCATTTGTCTGTTTATTTAAAGATGTTTCATGACATTAAAGAAAAGAACATAAATAAGTAAGATTCCCAAGTAAATGTTGGTATAGATATACCAGTGTCTTAAGAGCTTGTGATCATTTTAATGTTGTCCAATATAGGTCACCAGCCCAGAGAGCAGGGGAGACCGTCCTGTGACAATATGCAAGGGTCTGACTGACAAAGGCCACTGGATGTGGTGGTCAGCTACTGTTTGGTAGCCCTGGGGTTCTTGAACTGGAACAGAACAAAACTGCTAATTACTAAATAATTGTTCCAAACTTTAGTATTGATAAGTACACTGGCTTTGTCAAACACTTTGTCTCTTTATTATTTTTGCAAAACAAATAGGGCACAATTTTTTTTTTTAAATACACAGACAAGGGTCACCCAGTAATAAACTTAAAGCTCAGACTACTTTGTCTGTGGCACATTTTTAAACCATAGGTTCATATTTTGTACTGTTCATACCATAAAAATTAGTAGTAATCATTTTACAATACAATTACACTTTAATAATCGAACAGAATTATTTCTTTAAAGAAGACACGTCAGTCTGAGTCGAACCCGAAGCTCATGCAGACCTGCAGTGTAACACCGTTGGAGTACAGCAGTGAGAGTAGTCTATGAGCTCTGCTGCCTTTGTTCACTTATAGCAGTCCTTCTAGTGTCTCCTGTCAGAGCAGTCAACAGGTTATTAACTCTGTGTTGCTTCCTGTTTCCCCATGACCTCACATCCTGTTGACCTGACCCGTCAATCAACAATTGTTCCTGTCTTTGTTGGACATGGACAAACACAGCCACACAGTAGAAAAGTGACTTTCACCTGACTGGGTGACCCTTGTCTTCTTTCTTTTTCTCATTTCTTTGAACGGATATATACATGTCCAGGTTAAACAAATGTCTTTTGTGACCAAAATGTTGCTGGGACAATCCCTGGATTGGATTTTTTTTCTTTGAACCAGATTTTAATAATACTGTATATCTGGGTGGGGAAAATGAAAGTGTGCTTCTCTTTAGCCCAACCGCACTAGTGGAGCTGCTCAGAGGCCAGCAGACCCGACTGTGGTTGGACTGGGCAGCATCCAGCAGCTTCACTCCATGAGTCTGAGCAGGAGGTTTCTCACAAGTCGGATAACATTTCTGGTTGTTTATTTCAGTGATTCAATGAACAAAAACCTGATTTCAGAATCACTTCTGACATGTTTACTAGGAAGGAACCGATGTGACCTTGTGTCTCCTGATAGTGATTAAGATATATTTGTTCAGGGATTCTGTTTTACCACATCAAAATTAGCACAGGAGAAATTATTTGTTTTACATCTGGGGAAGCTCATTAACATCGAGCTTTGCAGCTAAGAGGCCACATACTGAGTACTAACTAGTTACTAATGACCATAAATGGTGCAGGTTCTACCTGAATCCCAATGAGTCAGTCTGGTCTGTGGCTGGTCCACTCACTTGATCCAGTCAGATGCTCTCTGGGCTATCACCAAACCATGCACTGATGGCTCACAACTCAGTTTTGGACTCACTTGATTTAGCTTAACATCTCAGTCCATACATATACTAAACCAAAGGAAGGAGCAAGTGGGGTCCAAGTTGCCAGTCAGCTGTTACATGATATGCTTAGGCCAAGAGGACTCTGCCAGACCTACAGTAAAAGACAGCAGTAGGTAGATGAGCACTACATAACTAGAAAGACAATTTAGATATATTCCATTACAGCTCAGTAGGATGTTGGCCAGCATACAAGCATCAAACTGAACAATTCTATGTGTGATACAGTGACTCCTGTGTTTCTCTTAAACCTATAGGTGCGGATGTTGGGCCCATTGGGTTCATGTGGCGATGTGGGCTCAGAAGAACGGGTCAGCATGTTCATGGAGCTGGTGGATGGCGTCTTCCTGCACAAGATTATGACGCATATGTAGGTAGCAGCACACAGATGCTGGGCTTCTACTTTCTGAACCTAACGAGCTGTATACCCTATACATGCCCTGCATTATGTGCTGGTTAGGCTAACCTTCCCACTTAGTCTTTTCTCTGTGTCGGGTCTCTGTCTAAAGGAGGCCCCTCTCACACAGGCTGCTGACATGCAGACAGCTGAGCAGATGTAACTCCATAGTGGAAGAATCAGCCAGTAAGGGAGACTGTATGAGCAGCTTATCAAACAGCAGTTGAACAAGCAGAACACCGACTTGCAGAAATGTGATGTCTTCACTGCTTTGTCTGCGGTCCCCTCACTGAGGTCCCTGTTTAGCCTCTACACCAACATGCGATGTCCTCGTTGTATCTCATTAGATGACCGTTACTCGGCTCGACACGTTTCAGTAGTTTCCTAAAATGGAAAAAACCCCTAGAGTGAGAGTTTCATGCTTTATTTGCACAAGTCAGTAAAATGTCTTCTGCTGTGTATTTTTGTGAGTTAATCCAGGGTTTACTGTGTGCGTCTGTGTGACCACATCCTGACTTGCTGGTTTCAGGTTATAAGCGTCACAGCCAGATGTGCTGTTTAGAGTTGCAGCAAGAATTAGTGTATGCAAGAGAGTCTGAGTTTTATCGTTTTAGAGCCGACTGCAGTTAGACTCAGGTTGCTAACAGGCAGGAGCAACAACTCTCCGCGTATTTAAGGCTAGATCTCCAGGTACGCACATTGGCAGGGGCCAATCGTAAAGCCCACTGAATAGAAACCATCAGTCACAAATAGCAAAGTAATGCACCACTGACATATGCAGAGGGTACATTTCAGACACCTGAGTATGTTTATTAGGCTTTTCAGCAACGGATACTTCTTATACTACTAGTGTGTTGTGAAAATACACAGTTTTGTTAAATATGGCAGTTTTATGCCATCCAAAGTTGTGGTGTGTATCTAGCCACAGGGCTCACCAGTGACTTCTGTGCCGGTCCCAAGCCCAGATAAATAGGGAGGGTTGTGTCAGGAAGGGCATCTGGCGTAAAAAAGGGGTCAAATTAACTCATGCGAATCAGATTTGCTGTGGTGACCGCTAAGGGGAACAGCCGAAAGTAGAGTAGTCGTATGCCATCCAAACCAGTTCCATTCCAAGCATGTTCAAAGTGATTTCCCACAAATGTAATTGGACAAACAAGTTATTTTTGTAGCAACAAATCCTGCAAAGAAACCCAAGTCAAATCCATCTGTCTGTTCCTTCTGACCTCCTCAATGAGTCTGAGGCTCAGTCATTTTTTTAAAACAGCTGTCCACTGTAGCAGTTGCTGATTATTACACATTTGATCCTGTAGTGAGCATTCCTGGCAGCAGGATGGTGTGTGTGCAGTCAAAGCAAACTGTAAAGGAATGTGCTGTTCCCTGATGTGTTTTTAATAGTTTTTGGCACCAAAGAACACAATATATCAGGCTGTGGGTACACAGACAACACTAGTGGGATGAGTTTGTTGGTTTCTGTCTTGACATAGTTTTTTTTTTTTTTTTTTTTTTCTGTAAGTCCTATATAATCTCCCCAGCCATATGGGCAGCACAGCGGCGTGGTGGTTAGCATGTTCTCCCTGTGTCTGCGTGAGTTCTCTCCGGGTACTCCAGGTTCCTCCCACAGTCCAAAGACTGTATAGGTTGACTGGTGACTCTGAAGTGTGTGGAGTGTGTGTGGTTGTTTGTCTACATGTCAGCCCTGTGATAGCCTGGTGACCTGTCTAGGGTAGACCCCGCCTCTCACCCAATGTCAGCTGGGATTGGCTCCAGCCCCCCTGTGACACTATTCAGGAATAAGCAGTATAGATAATGGATGGATCACCAGACTTACTTACCCTTTTAATAATTCATATTAAAAGCATTTGGCACTACTGTCCACAGTAACAGTGTGGACTGTGTGTGTGTGGAATCTCACCCGGCTGTGCTCCCTGGCACACCACGTGTTCATAATGTTATTGTCTCCAGAAACAATGATAATGCTGTTATGTGCACACTTGAGGCAGGCAGGGGTGGATTTTTGGGTGGAGGGGTCTTGGTAGGGGTTTGTGGGAAAAGTGGGTCACGGAGGTGGGTCAGTGTGGTAAAGCCCAAAGGAATATTAAAGGAAAGCCACTTAGAGACAGTTGGAAAATCAGTCTGTAATCCTGCTATTCTCTTTTAAGCTTTCAAAAATTACATACTGAGCTGGGGCTGCATTTTCAACATTATTGCAATTTAATGTGGACAGCTTTTGTTTACTGAGTTGATTGACCTGTTAACTAAATGAACTGAGCTGCTTTTGGTGAAGTACCAGTGCTACAAGCAGTGGGAGTAAATTGTATATGAAAAGTAGAAATGGTGCAGTTTGGATGAGCTGAATGTATTTTTTAATTTTGTTTAGTGAAGACGGGGCAAGACATGAAATGTTTTGAAAAGTCAGTTGTGACCCGCTGAACTGTGCTCACTTAGGCTAATTCTCTGATTGAAGAATATAGAAGGGAAAGCAGTGAAAGTATAAGTTGACATGTAAAAATAGTTGAGTTGTCATTTACAGAGTAAGCGATTGAATCAGCCAGCCAGCCTGTTGTTTTCTCAAACCTTTCAGTGTCGGTGTATTTGGTCTGTCAAGCTTCAACTAATGTAGATTAATGATGCGTTCTGGTGTCTCATCGGTCTGGGGCTGTGTTGTGTGGAGCATGCCACTGACAGGTGCTCCACGCTGTTTTCTGACCGAAACACCAACCGTGTCGGCAGTTTGTTTCCACACATTGTTCTTCTTTTTTATGTCATGCCGGTGACGCCATTGATCATCTTTCCTTTAGTTTTATTTAAAGGGGCTTTCAGATAGGACACAGTGGGCACAGCGTTCCTTTATCTAACCCATTCATTTCTATATGCTGCACGGCACAAGAACATATCTGTGCTGCACTGAGCTGAGCTGAGCACAAGGTCACGCGTGCTGCCCCTGCATGCTGTGCCCAAGTTAAAAAGTTTAACTTGGACACAGTACTCTGTGACAACACCTCGACGCTTCCAATTGCAGAGAACCTGACATGCCACAAAGAATAATAGAGAAGAAGCTGATTTTGGCGGACCCACACCCTCTTCTTTTTTGCTGCAGCTCGTCTCTTCCTCCTCATCAATACAACTGGCGTGTAGATGGATACGTTCACGCATCCAAGTTTGCTGCTCAAAAAACTAGTTAATATCTGCTAACTACCTCATGGAAAGCTTTTTGGTCACCTAGCAACCGGCACCCAGCATGTGCGTGTTTTGCGCATGTGCACCCTCCTCCCCTCTGCTGCGCCCAACCCCCGCAGCGAGCGCAGAGCATACCACATCCTATCTGAAAGCCCTTTAAGGTTTATACAAAGTTAAAAGCTGGCTAGGACTTCACAGTGAGCGGTAGTCATCGATGTCTTGGCTCTTTAAGTCTTTGTGTGCAATAAGTCCTCTCTTAAAAGCGATAAACTACAGCCTCTAAAATGATTATACTGTTGAATCACCACCTGTGTACAGCAGTTTAAACAATCTGAACATGATCACCTTCACCTTTATTGCAGGACTGTATTAGACTGCATTAGTTTTAGCTAGATGTACCTAATAAACCGCCTACTGAGTGTAAATAATGAGCAGTGCTGCAGAAGGTATACTGCTGAAAGAGATTTAAATCAAAGTGCTGCTCAGAAATAATGCTTAAAAGAGGCTGGCATTGCATTTATAATGGAAATGCTGGAAGCAGGTAAGTTTCAGTTTAGGTGAAAGCATAAATTAGAGATGCCAGTTTCAGCACAGAGTGAGGACTGCATGGACATGAAGCCATCAAAAATTTAAGTATAAGTCAATAACAGCAGTTGTGCTGCATGAATGGCAAGATCCACGTTTAAGGTGCATCACATATTAAACTGTGTGCTCAAAGAAAACGTTAGGCAACAGGAACTTTGCCGCCACACAGCTGCTGCCACACCACAACTGTGGAGGCCTTTGTAGAAGCGCTCCATTTGAGGAGAAGAAAAACAGAGAAAATGACACATTTACAATCTGCACCAGCTTAATGTGGATGTACTCTGAGTAACTGTGCTGAAAGGATTTAAAGTTCTGGAAGTGCAAGTGATAAATTAAGTTGAAAGTGTCAGTTGAAGTGGGAATTGTGAGAGATGTTGGTGCCGAATTAGTGGTATAAACTGGAAGAAGAACAGCTGACATTTGAGCTGTGCTGTAAGTCAGCAGCTGAAGTGTTATAGAATGAAATGGTGGACGTCAGAAGAACCGTTTTGTTCAAAGATGTAACCTAGATGTGAAATTGTCTGAAGTGTCATCTGAAGCTTATGAAAGGAAAAGTCTTCAGCTGAAATGTCAGCCATCTGGAGCTTGCAATTCTCTCAGACCTTTCAAAACAAACACTGAGCAGGAGCAGAAATTTGCAATACTCTTGCAGTTTATTTGACTTATTGACTGATTCAACCTTCATGAGTTCATTTCAGTTTCAGGAGTTCATGTTTCTGTTTTAAAGGAATGGAATAATTAAATAAATGTAGGGATGCCACAGATGACAAAGTCTGTGAAAGTTAGTTGTAAGAAGTACTTGAAGTTTCATCCATACTGAAGCCAGCCTCGGGCATGTGGAGCTCAGATGAAAGACCCTATCTTAATGCAACTCCAGCAAAATGAATGTCTGCTTTTTAGCCTCTTTACACTGAGAATAGTTTCCATGAGGGAGTTGAATTGAGCTCCAGCATCAAACTGACGTCATGACACTCAGACTAGGTCAGTGGTACACACTCTTGCACAATAGCTTCCCAGGACCTGGGACACCAGTGTGTATGTATGTGTGTGTGTGTGTGTGTGTGAAATGATCTTTGTCTTAAATAGCCTCTAATAACGTCAGTCTAAATGCTCCTGCGATGTGTGTCTCCATAGTGACCCCAGCCCGACCAATCAGAGGCTGAACAAGAATGTGAACAATGATGTTTCGCTTCGCCTTCACAACCTGACAGTTCTCACCAGACACATCAGGACGTACTACCAGGTATGCATATGCACACACTGTGCTGACAGAGAACTCACAAACTGTGGCAGATTCATGGCTCACGCTGATCAGTCCCTGCAGCACTGAAAGCACAAACAGCTATTGTGTTTATTTTCTGCTTATCAACTGCTCCATATTCTGCAGTTTTATGAAAGTGCCACCTTTGTAGTATTTTTGTCAATGTTATTGGACTGTTTCTTGGTATTGATGCAGCTGTTATGTCCCCCACCTAACATGTCTGTATGTGTGTTTCTTCTGACATGTCTGCTTCTACTTGGATGTTACAAACATGAACAGGCCCCGCAGGCAAATGCATACAACAACAAGTCACATATGGGTCATTGCCCCATCCATCCATCCATCATGTGTGCCATTAGGGTCACATGAGTCTAGGTGTGGATTGGTGTTAAAATTGTCTTGGGAGGGTTGTCAGGACTGCAACATAGGCGCTTGATAAGCAGGCCCAATAGGGATCTGCGCCTGCAGATCTCCGATGAGATCTCTTTAGATTTTTGGCGGATTTTGAAAAGAAAGAAGAAAATCAGAATGTAAGCATGTGTTTGTCCCAACCTGTATGTGTGCAACAGTCGTGTGATGTTGTAGATGGTTTGTTTTTGTCATTTTCAGTCATTTTCCAAGCCAAGGATCTGACATTCACATATACTTCACACCTTCACTGGCTAGTTGCACATCGCAAAGGTTCATGTCTATTTTTTTTTTTTTTTTATATATTTTCCGAGACTCTATTTTTAAACAAAAGCCGTCCCTGGTAGGCTAGTGGTTAAGGCACAGCGCTCCTGCCACTGCGGCCTGGGTTCAAGCCAGGAAGGGCATCCGGCATAAAGCACGTGCCAAATGTCAACATGCAAGTCGTCAGTGTGACGATTCGCTGTGGCGACCCCTAAAAGGGAAAAGCTGAAAGTGACTTTCTTTCACTCTATTTTAACAAAAGTTTAACAAAATAAATGTTTTCCAATATATACTGCAATAATGCAGACTGTTGATTTATATCACTTTGTTTGTACTAAGATCAAGCACTAACCATTTAGAAATGTTTATATAATCACAGTGACAGGTTACAGAGTGTACAGAGGTTCATGTCTAATAACAAAGGTATTGTCTGAAAACACGCGCCATTATCTCAATTCCACCTGCCTCCTCCTTTTTTACGTGGTGGTTGGTCAGTAGCTTAAATTTTCTAAAGAAATGTATCTTTGTATATCAGTGGCCATGTGTCCTTAGATTTTACAGTGATGGAGTTTCCAAATTCTCAAATTTAAAAGTTCATATAATGTGATTTCTTTCACCCTACTCAAAATTATTTTAGTACATTTTTCTGCTTATATTTGTTAAAAAAAATTGTTGTTAGCTAAATAAATATGTTCTTTTACATTATAAGCAAAACAAAAAAGAATCACTGCAGAAAAGACAAAAAACCACCGATTTCATTTGGGTCTGCTGATAAGTGGTGTAGTAGACCACCTCCACTGTATTGGTGGCTGTTCGAGTTGGTTGTAAATGGCCTCTTTTACTCCTCTTTCAAACCATCGGTCAAACAAAGTCAAGAAGTTGCTGTCTTCAAAGTAGTGGTGAAAGGGACTGTAGATGAACTGTGATCCATACAGATATAAAGTGTTTTTCCACCACAAGAAATTGACGAGCTGGAACCCAGAGCACCGACACCACTTTACAGCAACATTACTTTAACCTTACGCTGGCTGGGCAGGTTGTTAGGCTGTGGAGAAGACATGTCAGTGTGACGTCTTCACTCTCCCCGTAGTCCAAATGCCTGGTCCTGTTGATCCACTGAACCCACACAGTGCTCGTTCTGCTGAGTGCAGTGAATTGTTGTGAACGAGAAGAAAACAAACACCAATTTGATATGTACAGCAAGAGAGTCTGAGCTCTGTGTATGAAAATTAGTTTAAATTGTTTAGATTTACTTAGTATCATGATGTTTTCACCACGGTGGATAATAAATTATTAGTATGTCTTTCTTCGTCGCCTCTCACTGGTTTACTGTGCAGGTTTTATGTGCAGCCTGTGGAGGAGGGCAGAGTGCATGCAGTCCACCAAAGATTAATCAGTTTCACAGGAAAACGAAACAAGATAAACTCAAAAAACTAATTGCCCCAGTTTGACCCTTGACACATGTTCTTATGCTGCAAAATTCACAACCATGTTACACAACAACTATTCTGCATTGATTTGCTCTGTAGTACATTTTCTTAAGGTGCTATGAGAACATTCTCTATATCTGCTGACGTGGGGAAACCAGAGGCTGCCAGTTTAGAAATCCTTGGTGTACTGTACACCGATCAGCCATAACATTATGACCACCTGCCTAATACTGTTTACATAGGAGTCCATGTGGCAGTTGGTTGACACTCGTGTCACTCTGCAGCTCACTGTGCATCTTCTGTGAATCCATTTACTTCCACAGTTCTACTGTCAGGAAGAGCACAGATGTGTCTACAATTCAGTGAAAAATCTATGTAGAAGAAGTGAAAACTGGTTGTGAGGACGAGTTAGAGAGAATTGTTTAGACAAATCCAACAGAAAACATGCCTGTATTACAATCCATTTAAATGATCATATCCTGCACGAAGGAGCAAGATACCAACTAAACAAAGTGGTGTGTACAAAAGGAAGCTGACCAGGAAGACGGTGTCTCACCCAAACATCCACCCTCTTGCAAACTTAAATTTCTAATGAAATTACACTAATAAACTCATTTTACAATGTGGAGGGGTGTAAGTTTGTCTTAGACCCCAGGCAAAAGTTTACACAGTCTGCAAATAGTTTTCAAATTGTAGGCGTTTAGAGACCTAGACAATATCAAATTTTCTCTAGCTTGATGGACTTCAACACTTCCTTAATTTATCCTTCAGGTTTTTTTCAGTTCAGAAGGCGAACTTATGTTTTCATTTCAGGAATATAAAGATGATAAACCTGTTAAATAATGAAAGCTAAGGCTCTTTGCAATATGACAGGAAGATTATCATCATAGGGAGCAATACAAAAAGGAGTGTTTCCTAAAATGTAGATTTTAGGTCAAGCTATCACTTCAAACAGACAGACAGTTGACTTACTGTGTGATTATTTACCATAATGGGATAATGTGTGAATTTATTGTACACATCAGGTGGGTAAGAAGTAAGACTTTACTAGTTGTCTTTATTTTGTTGTAGCACCTTACAACATTACACTCATTAGACAGAGAAATGGTGAAAAGTGCCTCAAGGCATGACAGATGAGTTTTACCTTCAACTAACAGCAGTGTTGATGATACTAGGCAATGAGAACTGCGTTTGTGCATGTACTGTATGCCAGGTCTTTAGTTTGTGGCTTTGTACTGATTCCAAGCCTGATTTATTGTGACCATCCTCACAAAGCTAATCACAGCCGCTGTCAGAAGCATAAATCCTGCGTGCGTGACACAGTGTGTTTGGTATAAATCAGAGATAAGGAGCTTAGATGCAGCTGAGTTGGCTGAGCTGGAGTTGTATCCTGTATCACATATATTTTTCTCTAATTTCCAAGGTCACATAAACTTGTTACATGTAGTTGTTGGTGTTTTAATTCTCTAGAAAGATTATTTGAGAGTTTGTCCTGTGAACTGTGGCAGTTGGCCTGTTGCCTACAAGACAATTAATGTGGTACGTAACTATGTTATGTAGAGTGAACAAATAACATAGTTTGCTTAATTCAGTAGTTTCAGGTGCATTTAGTCTATCAGCGATGCCTGGAAGGTGTGACAGCCCTTTGGTTGTTACTGGGTTTAGAAATGACAATAAAAGGTTTGTTTCAAAAACTTTGCAATAGACAGGGAGTAGTACTACAGTACGTACTGTACGTGCTCATCTGTTTTTACAGGAAGAGAACAGGCAGTCATTTAACCTATGTCTATTGTTCAAAGCCCATAGGTAGCTGTGGTCCACCCACACAGTTTTCACGGTCTAGTACCTCCTCTCAGGTGTCTTGGAGCATACACACTGCCCCATTAGTTTTTTTTTTTCTTCCAACTACTCTAAACTATAAAAGCATTAGTATAATTAGTCTCAGTACAATAACAGTATGATAATTTTGTCAAATCTGCTACCAAAGCAGTGTCTTTATTTCAGTCATGGTGTAGCCAAACAAAAAAGTCTCAGATAACAACACTGTGGCAAAGTGTCACAGTATAACATTGCTCACATGTAGCTCATGCAGGTCAGACACAAAGGCCTCAACTGCTGCTGACTGGGTGCATATGTGAAGTGGGTCATTCTGGGAAGTATGGGGTTAATCTGTCTGTGATGGTTAATCTCTAAACGCAGTCATATACCTTGGACCTATCACACAAACAACCACACAAATACATGCAGACATCTCATAGTATAACCTTAAGTCAGTGAATTATAAACCTTATCTTATTATAACCTTATGACATAAGGTTGTAATAAGATAAACACACAGACATCCAGATGTTCATATGGGGCTAGGCGTTGTCTTATTTCTAATTAGATGATGTCCCAGCAGACATGCAGACTGGTCCAGTGAATCCTCCCAGTTTCCCCAGTGACAGCACTCTTAACTGTTCGTGTATGTTTGAGAACGAGACAAGAGGGGTGTTCCCACCCCCCCGGTTCTCTCATTAGTGTACAGAGCACACTAACATGATATCGCAAGCTCTGTATACTAAGCTTTTGCTGGATTTTCCATCCAACTAGTCCACGCAAGTACTAGAACGATTTATTGATCAGTTTATCAACAGAAAGTCATCAATGACAATTCACAATTAAAATACCATTTGTCAAACGTGAGCAGCAGCAGCAGCTTTTCTGTTTTCCATAGCTATAAACTTGAGTGTATTTTTATTGTTGGACAAAATAAGCTAATTTCAGAACTTGTGTCAGGCATTTGACTACATTTTGGATAATTTACAGAGTAATTAATCCCTTATTAAAAGAAAAGAACTTGGAGTAATCAATAATATCAATAATGAAAGTAACTGTTAC